AGATGGAAAACTGGAAATGGGCAAAGGCAGATACATTTTGAATTATGGAAGAGAAAATGTTTAGAGAGTTCATCTCAAATAGCTCTGATATGTTCAGCAAAGTAGGAAATGTAGCCATTCCAGGCATACAATAGGTGGAGACGGGAACAGGGACTAGATGTGATTTCATTGGGATCATCAGGGAATCTCGGGTAGGAAACACTCTATCAATGCAGGTTCGCAACATATAGCCTTAGAGAGTTGCTAAGAGCACTGAGAGATTAAATGATTTGTCCAGGGGTCACACAGTCAGTATGTGTCTAAGGTAAGACTTGAACCCAGGTCATCCTGGCTTCAAGGCCAACTCTCTATCTCTCTACCATGATAGATCCCCTTGATTTATGTAGTGAGTATAGAATTAAAACTATGAAAATTTAGGAATTTCAATGAGATCAGATATGTAATTTAAGTTTTAAATTTTAATATTAAATCTTCATCTATGTATATGCTGCATTTTCAAATTATTAAGTGGAAAATTTTTCCCTTTTTTTTTTTTTTGATATGGTTGTTGGAGAAGGCAATAAAGACAAAATGGCAGACTTAGTCTGCCGATAGGGATCAGTTTAAACAAAAAAACATTTCACTCAAGAGTGAAATAACTTGGCCAATTTCAGACGATCAGTTCCATTTAGTTTTAATACATTATAAAGCGAAAACAAATCACCCATTTGTTTTGGAGGCTACAAATGTTCTTTGGTCTTGTCTAAACTGATTTAAGTTGAGCTCTGGGTTCTTATAACTGGATTCTGTATTATTGCATCCCATATGGTAGTGGAGAAAGTACAGGACTAGGAACTGAGAGATCTGAATTCTAATTCTGCTTCTGTTGCTAAATCAATATATGACTTTGGGCAAGCTGCTTGGTGGGAAATATGCTAGACTTTTACAAAGAAGAAAGCTAAGACTCTATGGGTTCCTTCCACTTCTAACATGCTATAATTTTGTGAGGGGGGCCATCACCAGTCGTCCTGATCCATATCTTGCCACTGGACCCACATGGCTCCAGAGGAAAAAGCTGGTGACTTTGCATAGCCCTCCCTCATTTAAATCCAATTCACTTGCATGTCATGGTATCACCTCCCTGATGTCATGGTCCTCTTCAAGAACGAAGGACAAACAACAACAATTCCATAAAACATCGGAGATCAGTGGGCTAGCCCCTTCATTTTGCAGATGATAAAACTGAGCCCCAGAGAAAGGAAATGATGCTTACAGTCACACAGCTAGTAAACAGAAGAGCCAGGTTCCAAATACAGGCTCTTCCCACTACAGCATGCTGCCTCTTAGGTCTGATCTCCACTACTAGAAGGTGAGCCCCTTGAGGGCAGGGACCATGTCTCATTCATCATTGTATCAAGAAGGGGCAGGGAATTAAATTGTGGGTTAATGTAAACAAAAAAAAATCCTAAAGCTAAAACCTTCCAAAGGATCAGAGTTGTACCAAAGTGGACAGGGCTTCCTTACTCCTCAGTAATGTAGGCAGGATGGCCATTTATCAGGAATGTACATTGCTGTTCCTTAGATGAAACATTCCACCCCCCTTCTCAGTTTCTTTGTACTGGCTGACCACTAAGTCAGGGCTGTCCACCATCTCTGTCTCAGATTTTGCAAATTCCTTTTTTCCTTCAAAGCTTAATTCAAGTTCAAACTCCTAAATTAAGTTGTTTCTGATCTCCCTGGGTGCTAGTGGCCCCCCTCCCCAATTACATTGTATATATTTTGTATAGACTTATAGATGTATACACTATTTCCCCCGTTAGAACATAAGCTCCTTGGGGGCAGGAACTCTTTCATTTTTGCATTTGTATCCTCAGGCCCTAGCACACGGTATCTGGCACACGAGTACATAATAATTGTTTGTTTGCTATTGACTGATTTTGTGGAAGTCATTTTTGCCTTAGGAGAAGTTGTAGATGACCTGAGATACTCCTTCCAAATCTAAAGTCTGTGATCCTATGACTCTTTGTCCACCATCAGCCTGGCCCCTGAAGCATTGTCTGTGTGCTGTCTCTGTGTTTTTAAAGCACTTCACATGCTTTCTGAGAGCTCTGACTACTCCCTCCTGTCAAGCAGGCTGGGCAGAGATGTCCTTTCATTGCACATTTGGGGAAAAAGAGATCCAGTGAGGAAAAACAATACCTGTTCAAGATTCAGGGATAGAGCAATTGTCCCAGTACAGGGCACCATCCTCTGAGGGTAACCAAAGACAGTCATGAGGATGGATGGTACTAAGATCTTAAGCGTTGTTACTCTGATTTGTAAAGGCCACATCTCTTAGATAAGCCCAAGACACTTCTCCCAAGAAACTTGTCATCATTAGCTTTACCTGGATTGCCTGATTCTAATCCCTGACCCATTCTTCATCTCCAAAAAAATAAAAAACAAACAAAAACTGGAAGTTCTAACAGTCACATGCTCCTTGATAGTACAAGTTCCTCTGTCCTATACCAAGCCCATTGAGCAATGAAGTGAGAGATTAGCAAGAGCTTTGGAAAGAAAGAAGTGATGGTCATGGTGACCACAGAGGAAAGTGATGATTGTAATGATGGTTATGGTGATTAATATATCATATCCATTATGGAAAGGGGCCTGTGTCAGGTACCCGAGTGGATACAAAGATAAATTGGATCCAATCCATATCTTCAAAGAGATCATAATCTATAGGAGATGGTACTGGGGGTGATGGGGTGATGGAAATGAAAATGATAAAACAGAGAAAAAGAAACAGACACAGAGACAGAAAGTATGAACAGCGATTTGAGCAATTATGGTGATGGAGATGATGATGTTACTAGTTACGGCAGGCATTGAAACAGATGGGTGGTGCAGTAGGAAGAGCACTGAAGACCTACGTTCAAATCTGGCCTCAGAAACTTACTAGTTGTGTGACCTTGGTCACTTAACTTTTGTTTGCCTCAGTTTTCACAACTGTAAAAAGAGGATAATAACTGCACATATCATGCAGAATTGTTATGAGATACTCGTAAAGCATTTAGCACAGTGTCTGGCACATAGTAGGTGCTATATAAGTACTTGCTCCCTTCCCTTTCCCTGATGGTGATGCCAATTGGTAATTCCAGTAACAGTAGCCACTGTGATGGCAACCATGATGATATTGATGATAACAATGGTGGCATAGTCTGAATAGGTATCTGAATGATAGTAATCAAATAGAGAAGTAAATGCATCTTGCCCATGATTGAGGTATCATTAACAGACACTTTTCAGGGACTTCCAAGACCTTTTCAAAGACAGAACAGAACATCCAAACAGAAGATGAATAGCCAGGCATATTCAGATTTGCCAAAATTTACACAGTGCACTTACAATAGCAACAACATCAAAAGCGTCCAGGGACTTTCAACTCAAACTTTTTCTTCCCTACATTCATCCACAGTCTTATCCCTCAGACTCAATCTTAGCCACACAACCCCAAATTGTACCAACTTCCCTAAGACCAGAATTGTCAGATGGAAGGACCACCGGTCAGCATGGAAGAGAGGGAGATAGACAAATAAGGGCAGGAGAGAAAGAGGATTTCCAGAGAAATATGAATTCTGCCACTCACAGTTAGGAAGTAAAACTATGTCAGGGTCAATGGCATAAATAACTATGTTATTTAGAGTGGTGGTGGCTGAGGGGATGGTTCAGAGAAACTAAGATGAAAGACCACAGGAAGTAGACAGAAGGCAGGACAGGAGATAATTGCTTCGCCATGGAGCCCGATGACCATGGGACACACAATGGAATAAACTCTCAATGCTGAACTCATGTTAAAAAAGCTCTGTGGTTTTATTCCAGTTCTAGTATTCTGTGATCCTGTTATTCGACCAACATTTATTGTGTCTATTTTGAACAAAACACGGTTCTATATCTCTTATCCTATGATTCCATGATTCTTGCCCCAAACTCTCACTTGACATCTATAATCCAGATACTCTACAATTCCATTACTAATTAGTCTAGGATACTCTTCCAGATTTGAATAACTCTATTGCAGATTATTCTATGATTCTATTCTAGATACATTACTTAATGATTCAATTATTTCACTCCATATCTCTAAGCTGAGATTTTATAATTTGATAATCCAGAATCTATTATTCTACTGTTCTATTGAGATATATTATCTTATAGGACTCTCTTTTCTGGGTTCTGTCTACAGTCTAAGCAGGGAAATGTGGAAGTTGGGTCAAAAAAGAACAGGATGGCATGGGTCAGGGAATCCATTACAATTCTGAAATTTACAGAAGGCTCTAGGCCAGAACTCCCTATTAGGTCTTAATACCATGTTACTACTCAGAGGAAACTAATGGACCATAGGGTAAGAACAGAGGAGAGGCCATTTAGGGCAGAGAGAAGACATTTTTAGAAGAAATAAAGAAGAGGGGGCAGCTAGGTGGTGTAGTGGATAGAGCACCAGCCCTGAAGTCAGGAGGACCTGAGTTCAAATCCGGCCTCAGACACTTAACACTTACTAGCTGTGTGACCTTGGGCAAGTCCCTTAACCCCATTGCCTAGCCAAAAAAAAAAAGAAGAAGAAGAATAAGAAATAAAGAAGAAAGGGACATAGGTCAAGATTGGGGGAGAGGCTATTTATGTGATGGAGGAGAACTTAGGAAGGGTAGGAGAAGGCTAAGTCATCTGCATCCCTTCCAACCTTGGGCAGTGAATATTAGGAATGGAAAAAGAGGCGTTATGGACCATCCACTTGGCTGAATGGGACAGAAAGGAATGTATGGTGCCAGAAGTGGGGAGAAGAATGGAAAGGGGCACACATGGCAGGTAGAATCAGCAGCTCCCAGGATGCTATAGCTTTTTCAGTACTCTACTTCTGTCTTCAGACGTACCCTCTCCTCATCACTCCCATGCCCCTTGCCAGAATGCCTCCCTCCCTTGCGGCCCAATGCAAATCGCATCATTCTCCCACCAGGCCCAGCGCAAACCCCAGCTAAACTTACACATCAGCCTCCTCCCAAAGGATGCAAGTCTGGTTCGTGGTGCCCTGGTAGGGGTGGAGAGAGAGAAGGAACAGATATTAGACTCCATCCCCAGAGTTTCATTCTGCAAAAGCTGCCTAAGACACTCTAGGGAAGGATGAATAGGGTTCTCTTAGGCAGTTACACATTATTCACACATTAGTAAGGATTGCTTTATTTTATGTCACCAAGAATATGGCCCTATGGAAATGAAATATACACAGCCCAGTGTGTGGGAAGAAGGAGAAAAAAAAACCCCACAGAAACAAAACTTGGTGTAGGAGTTTGGAAACCTGACTTTTCATTATCAATTTAATGTATGTAAGTCCCACTCTCTTCTGCTTATGTACTCTGGGCCTCGGTTTTTTCTTTGTAAAATGGAAGGCTAGGGTGGACTAGATGATCTTCATTTCTAACGTTCGCTCTCCAATGTTCTTAGGGTCTTGCCAGCTCTGACATTCTAAGGTTCTATGGGTTTCCAAAGAGCTGGGGCTCTAGCCATAAATCCATGAGATGGATCATACACATTCACACATGCACCCATACATGTACACAAACACATCAATATACCTTTCTATGTGCTTCCAGGTATGTATGCACATACATGCTATCATCACACCCACACAATAACTGACACGTGTCCATGTCCATGTATTCCCACAGATATTCTTATCCCTGTTTATGATTAAAACATGCTGGAGTGACTTCAGAGATCTCCTAGTCCGACTCTTCCATTTTGTTGTTGAGAAAATGGAGGTCCAGTGAACAGAAATGACTTGCCTAAGGTCACACAGCTAGTAAGTAAATTCTACTTACTCATTAGTAAGTAGCATTGGGGTTTGAAACCAGTGACTCTCAGTTCCACTTTTCTTTCATTACACCAGAGTGCACATACAGAGATAGATTAACACATGTACACCCACCGTTACATGTATATATATACATACACACCCACATGTTCTACGCATGTAGTACAAATGCATTCACAAATATGGGCACCCACACACGCCAAAATGCACATGTACACATATGCGGGTCCACATATAAACATATTCAGAAACACATGCCAACACCTTCGCATACATTCATGAGCACTTACATTGTACATGTGGGAAAACTCAATCTCCAGAGGGGTTTGCAGGGATCGAGGGGCAGGCTTCACAGTCACAGAGATGACTTTCGAGTTTAGGACAGTGGTATTCCTGGAGAAGAAAAGAAGAAAAGGCTTTGAAAGAAGAAATTGAACCTTATATCCCAGAACAGAGTCCCTGAGCCAACATGGGGAAGGGTTATAACACTGGGGTCTAGTGAGGGAAGAAGGATCAGCGTGAACCAAATTTTTCCTACCTGTGCAAGGCCAATATACTGCCAAGATTCCGGTAGAGAACGGTGCCAATCACAAACACAGAGGAGGCATCAGTCTCTGTAAAACAGCCCTATCAGCATTAGACTCAAGTGATGTTCTTGCCCATGGCTTCAAAACCTACGTGCAGACCCTGCCCTTAGTTTCACCTCCTCCCATCTTCCCCATACCCCTAGACAAAACAGTCTTTTCTCCTGGGGGGACTCTGTGATTGGGAAGCGTCAGGTTCGATTCACTTAAAAAATAGGTTTTGAGTTAAACTGAATTGACAATAGTAGGTACAATCAGGTGGATTTCAAAAAAGTTGAATGACGGGACTCAAAGATTAGTCATTAATGGTTCCATTTCAATTTGAAAGGAAGTCTAAAACGGAGGGCCCTAGGAATCAGTGCTTGGCCCTATGCTGTTTAGCAATTTTATCTCTGACTGGGATAAAGGCAAAGATGGCTTCCTGATAAATTTGTAGAAGACATGAAGCTGACTGGAGAAAATGTAGGGTCAGAATCAGGATATGAAAAGATCTTGACTGGCTAGAATATTGGGCTGGATTTCAGAAAATCAAATTTAATAGGGACAAACATAAAATATACATTTGGGCTCCAAAAATCAATTTCATAAGTATAAGATGAGGAAGGCATGGCTACTTAGTAATTTAACCAGAAAAAGATTTAGGGGTATTAGTGGATCATCAGTGTGATATGGGTCAACAGTGCTGAATATTAGCCCTACCTCACAAAAAACAAAGCAATCTAAGCTTGAATTAAGAGAGGCATGTGGCAGGTAAAAGATGAAATGACTGAAGAAACAAAGGTTTAATCTTCTGAGCATATTGATTTATTAAGCAATGCCTAACAAAAGCAGGACTACACCCCTTCTTCAGCTTTGGGCTGGATGCTGAATACAGGGAGAGACAGACTTCTATACATTAAAAACAACTAATCAAAAAGTCCAATTAATTACAAGGAAACAATACAACATTAGGTAATTTGATTTCTAACTGGAGGAAAGAGTAGGAACTTTCCACGTTGGGAAGGGAAGAATAAACAGGTGCAACTCCCTAAATTCAGAAAAAGAAGTGTCCCACTCCCCCAAGTGTCTGTAAACAACCAAAGGAACACGGAAACAGTAACTGATTGGTCAGTATGGGACCAATTTTCAAATAAGACATATAGGTTGTTTAAGATGGACAATTGTAAGAAAACTCCTTGCATCAATATTTGGATATGACTGAGTTTCTGGTCAGCATAACCTAAGTCCTTAGTTAAGGGTCTCTAAGCAGCAGGTGGAGGGGGTCCAGCTTTCCAGCCAAGCAGGGCTAGGTTCAAACAATACAATAAGGTTTTCTCCCAATAACTCCCCATTGTGCTATTTCCTTTCTGAACAGGAAATTTCCCAACCTGGTTATTCCTGAGCCTGCCTTTGACACCCTGTGACTACATGATTGGCTGTCAGATAAGACTCGGACTTGGAATCAAAGTTAAGGGAATATTTCCTCTGTTATGATATGTGTTAGGTCAGTCTGTGCCCCCAAGGGGATGAGTCATGACATTGTTATAATGATTTCCCTCTTCTTCTTTCCATAGCAAATTTCTATAATAAGGCAGGTGAGTAGCAGAAGTTTTCTAAGTGCAATACTAAATCTATGAATTAACAGATTGATATTGGAATATTTCTGAGTTACTATGATAGGATGCAAGTGTGAAAAATCTTATAATTTTAATCTGTGTTTGTGGCCAAATTATAATAGAGGAATGAAATCCTCCAAAAGGAGGAATTAGACAAAGTAATAAGACAAAGATATAATGTAAAAATTTTCCTAATTAAATAGAATAATAAATTTTGAAAAAGCAACAGGATTAGATGTTTTCTTTAAGAACTATTTACATATGTATATAATTGGCTTCCAAATTTATCTAGTGTAGAAATTTAGGCTTTAATTATGTTTCAGTAATAAGTTCTCAAAATTGGAGTAAAGATTTTACATATAAAATTGCCTTGATATTTGTAAAGAAAGTAAAATTATTTTTCCATTTTAAGGCATCTGTCTGATAATTTTAAAAGGCAAAAGAGGTAGACTCATGATTTTTTTTTCATTCATATATCAAGTACAGTATTTAAGTAAAGATAAAAACAGTAAGTGGTATGTAAAAAATAAATTCTCTGAAGTTTCAGGTTTGGGTAACCAAATTTAAGAGATTATACCAAACTGTATTATCTTGATGCTGGCAGATTTTAGGAGAATTACCTAGCACAAGTGATTTGAAACCAGAGAAGCAGAGCCCCCTTCTGTACCACCCTGAGAATGAGGCCTATTCCAGAGTGTCAAAGAGAGGAGATCCAGGGACCAGACAACTGCATGAGACATTGGGACTTGAAAAGCATTGAATAAATAGGTATTGGGAGTGGGTTAATCGAATACAAGGAAACAATGTTAGTTAATGTTGATGATCATTGTTGTATTGCTTTGGTCTTCTATTTCATGGTGTTTGTGTTTCTTGGTTACCTTGGTAACAAGTAAATCTGCCTTCTCAAAATTAGTCCATTGTGAACCCTCTAAGTAGTTTGATCTGTAACCTGACCTGTGTAATTCTGATTATGAGCGTATGAGAAAGCCTTATAGATTTGGCTTATAAAGAAGTGATCCATGTGGGGAGTGGGCTACCCACTCCCCCAAAAATCAAAAGGAGGCATTGAGGAAATGGAGGGAATTGGGATTAGAACAGCAAGAGGTTAATTGTGAGAATTGAGTGAACCACACGGACTCCACCTTGTGACTCCATTCTAGAACTAGCTCCGCTCCCTCTCTGCTGGATCTAGCCCAACTTCTGTCTTGTGAGAAAAGTTTATTCACTTGTGGGAAATGGAAGAAACTGTTGCTGCACTGTTTGAACCTCGCTGTGTCCTGGCTGGGAAGCTGGACCACCTCCACCTGCTGCTTAGAGACCCTTAACTCTAAGGACCCAGGTGATGCTGACCAGAAACTCAGTCATATCCAAAGACTGACACAAGGAGTTTTCTCACAATTGTCCATATCAAGCAACCCATATGTCTTATCTGAAAACTGGCCCCATATTAGCCAATCAGTGATTGTTTCCATGTTCCTTCGATTATTTACAGATACTTGAAGGAGAATGAGACGCCTCTTTTTCTGAAGTTAGGGAGTTGTACCTGTTTGATTTCCCCCTTCCAACTTGGAAAGTTTCTACTCTTTCCTCCAATTAGAAATCAGATTACCTAATGTTGTATTGTTTCTTTGTAATTAATTGGCCTTGTTTGATTAATTGTTTTTAATATATAAACTGTCTCTTCCTGTGTTCAGGATCCAACCCTAAACTGAGGAAGGGGCCTGGTCCTGATTTGCTGGGCAATTGGAATGCATTGCTTAATAAATTGATATGCTCAGAAGATTGAACCTTTGTTTCCTGGGTCATTTCATCTTTCACCCACCATGGTTAGAGTTTCTAGACTGAGGAAGGTAACAGTCTTCCTGCTCAGACCACACCCGAAGAATTGTGTTTAGTTCTGGGAATCACATTTTAGGCAGGACTTGACAAGCTGGAACATATCCAGATGATGAGGGTGACCAGGATGGGGAGAAGACTAAGAGAACATGACACACGGGGACATCAGCTCTTCCCCAGGAGAATGTAAGCTCCCTGAAGACAGGGACTTTTTAATTAATTTTGTATCCCCAGTAGTAACACAATGCCTGACACATAAAAAGGTCAGTGAAATAGTTTGTGCATATCTCCAATGGAAAAATAAGGCAGTGGGATAGTTGGTATGTCTTTCACTTGAAGAAATGAGACTCATGTATGTGTCACTTGGGAATGTGGAATGATTATGTCTCTCTTGGGGAAATGTCACTGGGGTGTTGTTCTGTGCATGACTCATTTGGAGAAATAAGGCAGTGGAATAGGGTGTTCATATGACCATTGGGGAAGGAGTGTAATATTGTGTCTATACATGCTTTCTTTGGGGAGGAAAAGGGTGGGCTGTTTTCTTCCTTGACAAAGGTCACATAAGGACCTGCACAAGGGATTTAGGTGACTTCATACCTTCCCAGAAGAAAGAGGGTGGCATTATATTCCTATCTTTCCCTACTTCAAGCATGAAATTAAACAATAGAAAAGACTTCCTGGGGAAGCTAGGTGGTGCAGTGGATAGAGCACCGGCCTTGGAGTCAGGAGGACCTGAGTTCAAATCTGGCCTCAGACACATAACACTCACTAGCTGTGTGACTCTGGACAAGTCGCCTAACCAACAACAAAAAAAAAAAATAAGGACTTCCTGGCCAGGCCCTCCTTAACTCTGTGGTAGGGTATCTCATTACAATGAGACACAGAGACAGATTCAGTACTCCAACTGTGAAACCTGAGGCTTTCTTAACTTCTACCTCTTACCCATCATCTCTAGTCCAAAGGCCTAGAGCCCTCTCACCTGCAAGACCAGTAGAGAAGACACTCTTGGAGACAGTGACCTTGTCCTCAGATGTCCTTGACCAGTCACCAGGGGTACGCCAGCCTTTCATAGGGAAGCTGATGTCAGTGGCACCACTGGCAGGGAGCTTGTGGATGCTGAGGACTGGAGATTAAGGGAGAAAGAAAAGGAGGCGGGAAGAGATAAAGACAGAGAAAAGATACAGAGACAGATGGAGAGAAGAAAGAATAAGGAGGAGAAAGCCAGAGACATAAACAGGGTGGGGAGGAGAGAAAGAGAGACAGAGAGGGAGAGAGAGAGAGACAGAGAGAGAGAGAGACAAAGACAGAGAGACAGAAAGAGAGAGAAGAAGAAATAGAAGAAGAAAAAGAAGAAGAAGAACAAGAAGAAGAAGAAGAAGAAGAAGAAGAAGAAGAAGAAGAATGAGGAGATAGAGAGGAAAAAGAGAGATATATTGGATGGCAGAATCAGCATTCGGAAAATATATCAATGGGGGCAGCTAGGTGGTGCAGTGGATAGAGCACCGGCCCTGAAGTCAGGAGGATCTGAGTTCAAATTTGGCCTCAGACCAAACACTTGACACTTACTAGCTGTGTGACCCTGGGCAAGTCACTTAACCCTAATTGCCTAAAAATTAAAAAATATATATATATCAGTGGATCAATAGGCCGGTCAGAAGCTAACGAGATAAAGTTAAATTGGAATAAATGTAAAGTCTTGTACTTGGTGCCAAAAAAATCCATTAGAGAAGTAGATGGAGAGGGAGTTGTGCTTAGACAACAGTTCATGTGAGAACACCTGGGGAATCTTAGTGGATGAAAAGCTTAATCTAATTGAAAAGAATACAGCAAGATATGGGGAAGAAGAGGGAAAGAACCAAAGCCACATCTTGATGTCTACTAACTTTAGTGAGAGGGCGGCTAGTGGAGCAGTGGATATAGTGCTGGGCCCCCATGGAGTCAGGAAGACTCATCTTCCTGAGCTCAAATCTGGCCTCAGATACTTATACAGCTGTGTGACCCTGGGCAAGACACTTAACCCTGCTTGCCTCAGTTTCCTTATCTGTAAAATGAGGTGGAGAAGGAAATGGCAAACCACTCCAGTACCTCTGCCAAGAAAACCCCAAACAGAGTTACAAAGAGTTAGACACTACTGAAATGACTGAACAACCACAACCTTAGTGAAAGAGATAGTAGTTCCATTGTCCTCTCCTTTAGTTAGACGCCATCTGAAACACCGTACGCCATTCTGTGCACCACACTGCTATACTAATGTGTGTCCACAGAAGGACAACCAGGGTGGGTAGGAGACTCAAGAATGTGTCACTTAAGGACCAGTGAAAGGAACTAGGGATGTTTAGGCCACAGAGGAGAAGACTTGGAAGTGGGCCAAAGGACTACATAATCCCTGTTCTTAAATATCTAAGGGGCCATCCTAAAAAATAAGGAATAAGTTTATTCTGCTTGGCCCCAGAGAGATGAACTAAGGGAAAGTTTCAGGAAAGTAGATTTTCCATCAACTTAAGGAAGAACTTCCCCAAATCAGAGTCACACCATAATGGAATGGGAAGGAGGGATCTCCCCATTACTCTAAGTGTTCAAGCCTAAGGTTGACGACAGGAGTCAGGGATGCTATGGAGGGATTCCTGCCATAGGGAGGAGTATACCAATATGATGTTTGAGGGTCCAGCAGAAAGAGGACTAGACTTGGAATTTAAAAAAAAACCGTTTGAATCCTGTTGCTGGCACTTACTAGTGGTGTGACTTTGGAAAAGTCACTTCCCCTTCTCTAGCTTTCTATGGTTCATGCTAAAGAAATCCAACCCAAGCGCCTATTGTAGAGTTATTTTCAGTCTCAATACCAGGATCTCAGTGAACCTGGATGGACTCAGTTTCTTCTCCTGTGAAATAAGGTTTGGTACCAAGTTCCTTGACAGCTCTGATATACCATGATTCTACAGTTTGCTGATCACAGATGGGCTTTCCAAATCCACTGTACAGTTGAAAAGATAAACTCTGATCCGGCCTCTTCTCTCCAGAATGAAGAGAGATATGGGACCCATTTAAATAAATAAACAAAAGAAAAGAGATCATAACTTAACCATCTATGTCCTGATATGAGAACATTTCTCAGGCTGGAGTCATGATAACAGAAAATTGACATTGGGTAGTATGCTACTGTAACTCCCCTCCTCAAGTACCATCAGCGGCTACCTCTTTCCTCTGGAATTAAAAACAGCTTCCTCAGTTTGGTATTTAAAGCCTTTCACAAACTATCTCCTGCTTACTAGGTTCAGTTCATATAATTCCCCCTAAAGTACTCTGTGTTCCACCCATGCTAGCCTACTTGCTGCTCCCCATTTCCATCTCTCCCTTCCATTCCTTTGCATACACTGTCCCCAACACCTAGAGTAAGCTTGCTCTTCATGTATGGCTTTTAGAATTCTTAACTTCCTTCAAGGCTCAGGTCAGGTGGCACCTCCTACAGGAAGCCTTTGATGATCTCATTAGTTAATGTCCTCTCCTTCCTCAAAGCATCATGTATATACTTACCTGTTTTACAGGTTGTAACCCTCCAGTAGAAGGTAAGCTCCATGAGGGCAGGAGCAGTTTTTCAATTTGTCTCTGTACCTCCAACATAGCCCAGGACCTTTCACATGCAAGTCACCTAGATTGTTGAATTGAATTGAACTGACCAGAGAATGCCAATTGGAAGAGACCTCAATCAATCAACCAACATGAACTTATTAACCTAGAACATAGGATATAGAGGGTCAGAGCTGAGATGGATAGCACGGAACAGGCATAGAACGTTACTTTGGGCAGGGGTCTTTAAGGTCGTTATCTTTTCCAATGCTTTCATTTTACAGGTGAAAAACTAAAGTCAGAGATAGAAAATGACTTGTCCAAAGCCACAGTGAATTGGTGGCAGGGCTGAAATTTGAATCCATGGCTTTTGACTAAAAGACCCTTTCCACTCTGTCCTCGCACTTCAGTCTCACTCCTCAGTGCATGGTGGCAATTGGAAAGCAATGGTAAAAAGAAGTCACTGAACAGCTGTAAGAACCATTAAAGACTGGATTTGAGATAGAACTGGGCTAGGCCTCAGGTGTTTGGAAAGCCCCAACCGGAGCAAGAGTTCTCTTTACAATCTCCTCACCAAGTCACTATTCAATATCTCCTTGAAGGATTCCAATGAGGGGGGATCTACTCCCTCCCCAAGCAGCCCATTCTGCTTGGGCATGGCTATTAGGACGTCCTTCCTAGTCTAGAAACTGACTAGACTGTTCTTATGTTAAGAGAAGACCAAACATTTCATGCTATTTCCTGTCAGGTATCTGTTTCTTTGCCAACTGGTCTTTCCTATCCCCTGTTCTCCTCTCGCCTGTACTACCATTTCTCTGCCTTTGCTCATCTTGAATGGAACTCCCAAAACCTTAGAGTCTGTCCCTTCTTTCACTGCTAAAGTAAGGTGCCACTGCCTCCAAGAAGGCCTCCCTGCCAACTTCACCATCACCACTCAAGATGAAACTAATCTCGCCTCCTCCAAACACCTCACAGGACTTTGACAGGACCCTTCTTGCCCTTACATCGGTTTCCCTCTATTAGACTCTAAACTCAAGAGCATCACTTAGAATAACAATAGTAATAATACCAATAATGATAGTAACAATAATAATAATAATGATAGCTAACATTTAGGAAGCACTTTAAGGTCTTTTTTTAAAAAGCACTTAACATATTATCTCATTTGATCCATGGTGTCTGTGTTTAATCCAATTCAATTCAATTATGATTTATTAAGCAACTACTACATGAAAAACACTGGGAACACAAGAACAAAATGAAAAACAGAAAGAGCTCCTGTCTTCAGGGAGCTTACATTTGACTGGGAGGATACAACATGTAAACATATAAATATACATATATGTGTATATATACACACATATACACATATACATATACACACATATGTATATATACATATACATACTCACATGTGTGTATATATATACACATACATATATATATATATATACACACATATATACATATATACACAAACACACACACACCAGTAGCAGGGGGTGAGCAGAAATGGCTCCCTGTAAGAGGTAACACTTGAGTTGAACCATTAGAGAAAGTAAGAATTTGAAGATAGGGAGATGAAGAAAGAGTATATTTCAGGTATAGGGAATAGCCTATCATGCAAAGTCAAGAAGGTTAGAGATAGAAAGTGGAGTCTGAGAAAGAGCAAGTCAACTATTGGGAATAGAATGTCGAGTACCTAAAGAGTAACCTGAAATGAGACGGAAAGGTAGGTCAGAGCCAGACTATGGAGGGATTTACAAGTCAAACAGAGGAGTTTTTATTTTATCCTAGAGGAAACAAGTGGCCAGTTAAGATGCCTGTGTAGGGGAGACTGACATGGTCAGTCCTGAATTTTAGGAATATTCGTGGAAGATGGATTAGAAAGGGGAAAGGCTGGTGGCAGAGAGATCAATTAAGAGGCTATTGAAATAGTGCATGGAAGAGAAGATAAGGGTCACGGTTAGGGTGACTATGTGGGTGGAGAGGAAATGGTAAATGTGAGGGAAGAAATGACAAAATTTGGTAACTGATTGGACATGTGGAGTCAAAAGGAGTCAAAGATGACATTGAGAATAACCATCAGAGTAAATAAAAGAATGGCTGTATATAACTTTGCATATACCAAACACAGTGCCCTGTACATAGTATGTACTTAGTAAATGTTTTTAAATTGTTATTTAATTGAATTAAATAACAGTATCTGAGTCTTCTGTAAAGGGCTTTGGAAAGTATTTAGTCCAAGATAGAAGTTGTCCCATCCCTGAACAGAAATCCTCTTACAAGATCTCTGACAAATGGTCATCCAGACTGTTTGAAGACAGCTAGTGATGGGGAGTGCATAATTCCCTCAGATAGCAGAAGTAGTAGGAGAAGAAGTAATAGCCTCTACCAGGCTCAGTGGAGATCAGCCGTCCAGGAAGGAGATAGGGGCTGTCTCAAAGAGTTACCAATTATCCCAGTGAGTGAAGAGAAACCCATGCAAAGTGGTAGGGGATTGGGAGTCCACTGGGCATCACTGAGGAAGCAAAGGAAGGGGGAGACCCTGGCAGAGACCTTCTTGGCTCCCTCCGCCTAAGGCCACTTGCAGCTTGGCCAAAATATGAGGTGGATGCAAAGGGGGCCAGCTAATCCCTGAAAGCAGCAATGGCTTAGGCGGGCAAACAAGGAGCATCTTAGGAAAACATGCCCATGCCCCATCATGAAAAGATTCTGTTTTCTATAAGTGTGACTTAGGCAGTACAATTTTTTTTTTAGAAAGAAAAATGGTCTGTGTCAAGGGACCTGGATTTGAGTACTATTTCTTTCTAAGTAACACAAAGCAAATGATTTGACCTCTCTGCGACTCAGTTTCCACTTTTGTAAAATAAAGATGATCAACGAATATTTATTAAAATATTAAAAAATTAAAATGGGCCAAAAAATGCTTTCTTTCTTCACCACACAGGGTTGCTATAAGGACAAGTGCATTTTAAACATTAAAGTACTGTAGATAAATATCTTATAAATATTATTGTAATTTTTTTTCTTTAGATTCTGGTAAAGCCCTCTTATAATAATAATTTCATGGTCCTAGAGTACTTTAAGGTTTACAAAATATTTTGTTCCCAAAATTCCATAAAGATGGGATGTGTTAGCCCAATTTTTTAGAAAGGGAAACTGAGGGTAAGAGATGTGAAGTGACCTGCCCATGGCCACGCAAGTAGTTAGTGATGGAGCCATTACTCAAACCCAGGTCTTCTGATTTCAGATTCTATGCTACTGAGAAACTGAGAGGAAAAAGGGAGATTTCAAGCTGGTGGCAGGAATAAGTGTTCAGGAGAGAATCAGGAATCACCAGAGGCTCTAGACATGGGCTGGTGTCAGTAGAAAAAAGGAGGAAGGAATCACTGTGCTCTTTGAAGACCCTTCACAAGAAGCAAGTGGAAGCTGGATGACTGCTCACGCCACGATGTTATGGGGGAGATTCGTTACTCATATACAGGTTGGACAGCTCCTATGATCCAGCTCTGGGTTTGTGCTGGCGCACTGGGGACGGATGAAGGGGCTGGATCTGAAGGGTGGGAGTGTTTCAGGAACAGGTATAGCCTGCCTGGGCTAATTTATTTATACACTACCAAGACTAGAGATGAAACCACATAGGAAAGAAGGAAGGAGGCCGGGGCAAAGGAAAAGGGAAGCTCACCCAGGTTGTCCGTCACTTGGTAGGAATCTCGGAAATCCTTCATGCGAAAGCCAATGACGTCGACAAAGTCCTCTACCAGGCGAAAGAGCTCCTTAGCGTTGGGGCCCATCTGATGAGGTGGAGACGGGACGCAAGCATAGAAGAATGGTTTTTCAGAGCTAGAAGGGGCTTCAGAGGTCATCTGGTCTAATTCCCATCCAAAGAATGTATCCCCTCCAAACCCCTCTAAGATTTCACTGACAAATGGTCATCGAGCCTGCATTCCAAAACCAGTGAAGGGGAACTCACTGTCTCTAGAGGCAGCCCATTTTACATTGGGACACAGTGAATTATTAGGAAGTGTTTCCTTATGATGAGGCAAAATCTGTCTCCTTGTGATACTCCACCCCCAACCAGCATGGTCTCAATTCTGTCCCTCTTGGAATAAGCAAAAAAATATGATCCCTGTGCCCCATGAAAATCAGTCAGATATCTGCAGGTAGCATGTCTCCCCACTAAGCTCCCTTGACTCTCACTCATTTCTGACTTTAACAGTCAAGAAATGAGGTATGCCAACCCCCAAATACATTCTACATATGTGTTTAGACACATGAATTCATGCAGTTGAAGTCACCTTTCAGTGTGTTAAGGAAATCTAGTCCCCTTGATAATCTAAAGCCAAAAAATAATTTCCCTTAACCCCGACCAAATAAAAGGGGAACAACAGGGATAAACAAAATAAAAATAAATCTAGATAATTTAAGAGCCCTATCTTTTTAGCTGTTTAATTACATTCTATAATTCATTACTTTGCCCACCAAGTCTAATAATCTTTCCTGTTTGATTAGATCCCAACTTATATTTTAATGAACTAGCAATCCCTGAGTTTACAGTGTCCAGGATCAAGCTGGCAGAAGACATAGAAAGGCTCATTCTGGGTAAGAAATTTGCGAAGGGTTATCTCTAAATGTGGATGATTGAGAGTTGGTACTACACATGGCCACTTGGATAGAGGAATGAACTTGGGTAGAGAGTGGGGATTATTTCTGGTGATGCATGCGTCTAAAGAAGGATAATGGAAGTTATGCCCTCTGGAAGAGTTTTAGGCTCCTTCTCCAGTTTGTTAAGGGATTTGGGGAAAAGGAAGAGGACTTGTTTGTCTCCAGTCCATACCAGCTGGGCCTCCTCCCACTTGTCCCGGTTCTCTTCGGTCAGCAGGTTGCTTATAATCTGGACAAAATTCTGGAAGAGAAAGGGAAAAAGGGCAACATGCTGGGCAGTCTGGCATCCAGACCTGACTCTGTCACCACTGGGGCATTCCACTGTAAGCACAAACTAGTGTTTCTGTTTCTCCCGCTTCATTACCTCTGCCAAGTAATTTCCTCATGCAAAGAGAGTTATAGAGGAGGCTGTGGGAGACACAGAGCAGCAAACATATAGCCCCAAGTCCTCAGGAGATCACAGGAAGATGGGGAAAGACAAGGTGATGATGATGGTGATGGAAATGGTGCTAGTTGTGATAGTGGTAGGGATAGTACTGGTGATAGTTCTGGTGTTGGTGTTACCGATGAGGTCAGTGGTGGCAACTGTATGATAAGAGTTACGGTGATTGTGGTCTCGGTAATATGCCGGTCATAGTGAGAGCAAAGAAAGTGTTGGTGACGATGATAACAATGCTCATGGCTGTGACTTTGCATTGATGGTGACAGCAACTGTAATATTGATAGTGGTGGTGATACCACTGCTTAACAGTGAGGTTAACAGTGAGGACAATCGAGGTGTTGGTGAGGACAATCTTCAGTTCCCACCCTTTACACCTCTCCCTCATGCCTCCCACCAAGTACCAGCCCACTTGCTTTCCAGTTTCCTTTTGTATGCTGTCTTCCTCCATTAGAATGCAAGCTCCTTGAAGGCAGGTACTGCTTTTTGTTTTGTTTTATTTTGCATTTTTAGCATTTAGCAGAGTGCCTGGCACATATGACTGACTATGATAGTGTTGGTAAAAGTACTAGTGATGGGCAAGTTGGTGTCTTTTAAGTGGAAGTGATGACTTAAGTGCTAGTTATGATATTTTTCTCATTTAATCAAATTATATACACACACATATATACACACATGCATGCGCGTATACACACACACACACATACACACACACATATATACAGGGCTCTGCAAACCTCAAAGCACTATAGAAATGTCTGGTATATAAGAGGCACTTAATAAGTATGTATTGATTGATTGATTGACTGATTGAAACGCAAGATGTTGTTTTTGTTGTTGTTATGGCAGTAATAAATTGTGATATTCAACAAGTCAACAAGCATTTAGTAACCTCCTAAAATGTGCCAAACATTGTGCTTATTTACACTTATGATGACGAAACAATCCTTCAAGAAACTTACATTTCATAGTGAGGGTAATTATTGAGTTAGTGTTTTAATTGTGCTGGTGACTGTGGTGATGATGACGGTACCATAGTGCTGGCAGTGATGTGATGATGTTGGTGATAATGACTGGTACTCTCATGGGAATGGCAGAGATGCTAAGCCTTTACAGTGGTCTGCCCTGCTCACCGGTGGGGTACATTTCAGGCCCCCACTCCTTGACCCCCAAAGGCCCAAGCAGACTTTTCTTCCAGCCCCTTACCTGTACATCACCCGGCGTAGGGCTGTAGTAGGCCCTCCGGAAGATCTCAGTCATGTTCCTCAGCACATCAATGGTGGAGAGGAGGTCCCCACTGTAGCTGGTCCCATCCTGAGAGATCTCCACCAGTGTCTGGATTACCTCTGATACGCCCTCACCTGGAATCCCCCTCTGAGCCTTTGCCAGGTGCTCCCGGGTCTGTGGAGAAGGTCGGAGGCAGGGGCTGGATGTGATGACTTCAGCACAGCAAACCAATTCTCAGCATCATAGTCTCAGGGCTACATCATACAGACCTGAGATGTTCCTAGCCCCATCTCCCATCCAGTGCAATAATTAAGACAGTTTTTCTGACAGGTTATTCAGACTCTCCACGAACACTCCGCAGGGACTGGGAGGTCCCTTTTTCCTAGGAGGCCCACTATGGCCTGACAGTCAGGCAAATCAGATGGAATTTTTAAGGGCCTAAAGTTCCTATGCTTTGGGACCTTGAGGAAAGGAGCTTCTGGGAAATGGCACAAGTCCCCAAATGACCACACTAAGGCATGCCCTTTGATTTTCTCAGCAAAGGGGCAGAAGAAATCTGATGGGGACCAACACTCCAGTCACAGCCTCATGAGGGGAAGTCAGGAACAGGACTGCTCCCCCTTCCACAAAGGTGAACTTACTACCAGTTCCTGCCTATGCCCTAGAGAAATGGGATAGAGAACAGTGATGGAGAAACAGGGATAGGGGTCTAGAGGAGTTAAGGAGATGTAGGATTTTAAAGCTGAAAGTGACCTTGCATGGGTCCCCAGGGATAAAAGGATGGAGAGATTTTGAGGGAAGAGCAGGGAGGGAGAGGGAAGAGGGATGGGGATGAGGAGGGCACAAAGGTTAGAAGACAGAGGGAAAGAGGGACACAAGGAAAGAAAGGGAGAGAATCATGGAATCACAGAGTTTTAGAGCTGGAAACTACCCTAAAGATCATTGTGCCCACCTCCTTCAATTTACAGATGAGGAAACTGAGGCCCCACCAAATTAACTGACTTGACTGAGGTCGCGAAGCAGGGGTATGACTAGAATGTAGGTCTCAGAATTTGCATTTCACCGATTTTTTTTTGGAGGCAATCAGGGTTAAGTGAGTTGCTTAGGGTCATACAGCTAGTAAGTGTCTGAGGCCAGATTTGAACTCTGGTCTTCCTGACTCCAGGGCTAGTGCTCTGTCTACTCCACTTCCCTTTCCACCATAGCAAGCTCATAGAATGCCAGAGCTGGAAAGATCCTCAGAGGGTTATCTCATTCAACCCCCAATCCAAAGCAGGGATCCACTTTACAAAGGGCCAAAGACTGGATGCCAGAAGGGAAGGGAAGAGGTAAGGGGAGGATCTGGGGAATGAGAGAGGATAGAAGGAGAGAGGGAAACTGAAGGAAAAAGGGTAATGGGAGCTGAGAAGGCAACAGGAAGCAGAGGCGGAGGTGAAGGGAACCAACAGGCATAAAAGATGGGGATGGTCGGAGTGGGCTAAAGCAGTGAGGGAAGGCTTCCTAGAGCAAACGGGGCTGAATCCAGCTCCTTAAGAAGAGGGAGGATTTAGAGAGGCACACCAGACAGGAAAGGGCATTGCTGGTGTGAGGACTAGGGTGAGCAAAGTCCAAGCACTGAGTTACAAAACCAAAGGCTATCAGAGCCGGAAACTACCGCAGAGACTATGTAGTCAAACCTCTTCATGTTACAGAGGAAGAAAAATTGAGTCCTAGCGAGGGGGAGTGACTGGCCCAAGATCACAGCTTATTAGGGTCACGGCCCTAACTTAGAGCGCCAGAACTGCAAGATCCTTTGGAAACTGTCTGCCCCAAATGCTTGGAAGCAGGCAATGAGACAGGTTTGCCCAAGGGTACACAGTGAGGTAGTGGCAGACAATGTAACACCCAGAACGCCGAAGCTAGAAGGGACTTTAGCTCCTAGAACGTAGAATGCCAAAGCTAGAAAGGAATCCTGAAACACAGAATGTTATAGCTGGAAGGCACCTTACAGACCATTCTAGCCCAACATCCTCATTTACAGAAGAGGAAACTCAGGCCCACAGAGGTCAAGTGACTTGTCTAAGGGCACATAACTGGGGAGAAATAAGGCAGGGACTAATACCCAGGTCTACTGGTTCTAAGCCTAGGATTCTTTCCCCTACATTACAGCTTCAGGAAGCTTCAGGATTTGTCCTTGAACCCAGTGTCCTGATTGCCACAGAGGAAGGGACCACATCTGTCTTGGGAGTGGTTGAGGGCTGGGGAGACCCTGAGTCAGGACAGAGGGGGATGGAAGTCCCTACCAAGGGGCTGCTGGTCCCTCACCATCATCTGGATGTTCCGGTAGTCGATGGAGATGCACTTGATGTAAGTGGGGGACTCCCAGTAGGCGATGCCTTCCTCGTCCAACATACACTTCCTGAGGATAAGGCCTAGGGTGGGGTTAGGGGAAGGGGAGGTGCAGGTTATGTCTCAGAGAGCTCCCCAGAGGTCATCTCATTCATTACCCTTCTCCAGTAATGGAGAATCATAGAACCATAGACTCCTCCATCCCTTGTTAGAGATTTCAAGAGCTAGCCAAGCCCCACCATCCCTGTATGTTATCCCCTTGCTGCCTGGAACCTGGCACAGCCGTGTCTCAGGGGTCCCTAAACAGTCACTGGGCTGTCCTGGTCACCCTTCTGTCTCTGGTTAAGACCAAAGTAGAGCCAGAGTAAGGAGGGACCTTAAAGATTTTGAGGTCCAACCCCTTCAATCTACAGAGGAAAAAAAACTGAGAGGCAATGAAAGAAAGGGATTTGCCTAAGATCAAACAACAAGGGGAGAATATACCCAGGACCCAGGTATCCTAGCTCTCAGCCAAGGGCTGTCTGCCCTTCCCTTTGGACCCTATTTCTTTAAAAAAAAAAAGAAAAGAAAACTCTGAAAAGCACAGAATATTAAATGAATGCTATTGTTATATGATTATTGTTAACAGGGGTAGTTCTCAGGGTCTCTTAGACTGTGTACTCTCTGAGGGAAGGGCTTCTATCTCCTTCCTCTTCCTTGTCTCCCCTCCCCCCACTACTTCCCAGGTAAAGCAGAGCACAGGAATCAGTACAGCTTTCTGGAAGAAAACAAAAAGTATTCTCTATGGCTCCCAAGAGCAGACCTGGGACCAGTGGAGGGAGGTTGCAGAATGGCCAATTCCAGCACAGCTTAAGAGAGAATTCTCTAATAACTGGAGCTATCTATGAGTGGAAAAAACATATGTACTGGGAGTAATAAGCTCCCCATCAATGATGATATTCAAGAGAAAACTGAATGATCATTGCTCAGGAATGTTGGAGAAGGAATTCCTGAACCTGCAAGGAGGTTGGACTGGATGCCCTCTGAAGTCTCTTCTAAATTTGAGTCTATGATTCTATGACTGACTGAATAAGAAGCCTGAGAGGAAGTCCCAGAGCCCACCCCTCAGTGCCTGGCCCTGCCTAGGGACTCATACCTGTGGCATTTCGGGGGCACCGTATGGCAGCCACATCCCCAGCTGGCGTCTCCTTCCAGACCATGGAACCAGCGTTATCTTCGTAGCAGATCTCATGGGGCTCTAGCAAAAGGCAAAAGATAGTCAGGTAAGAAGTGGGTAGAGGGTACATCAATCAGATTCAGAAAAAGAAAGTTAAAAGGAAAAGAATGAAGGTGGACGGGATGGAGTTTGGGTCAGTTAGCTAAATTGTTAGAGTCCAGTTTAGCCAGGTCAGAGAAGACAAGTCTAGCTCAGGATAGTTATCCACACAGGAAGAATACTCGTTCCCCAGCCGCAGCATGACCCCCAACCCTACCTCCACACTGGATCCCAAACCTGGTCACAGACTGAGCCCTCCTTCAGTTCTTAGATCCTTGTTAGAGAATTCAAGAGCTAGCCAGGCCCAGCCACCCTGAATGTTACCCTTTTGCTGCCTAGAATTTGGCATAGCCATGTGACTGTCTCTTCTGTCTCTGGTTAGAACCAGAGTAGAACCAGAGTGGGACCACAAGGTCCAATTTCCCTGGCAGTCACGGTCATAAAGTCAGGCAGAAAGATTGAGGGAAACCAAGGCCCCCAGTTGTCTTTCTTCTGGGTGGTAAGGAGGAAGGAGGGAGAAGATGGGAGGAGGGGGATGGGAGGAAGGAGATAGGAAGAGGAAGGTGTAAGGAGGGGGTGGCTTGAAGGGAATGTGACTTACCCGGGCACCTCCTTTGGCTGCACTGTCTGTACTCCTCCTTGGGACCCTGGCATGCCTCACCTCCAAAGAAAGGGCCCAGGCAGGCTCGATCACGTCTCTGGGTGCCCCCACCACATGTGGTACTGCAGCTGCCCCAAGTGCCCCAGGATTGCCACTTGCCATCCACTGGGAGAGTAAGACATGACAACATAGAAATATGAAGAAATAGAGACAGAGAAGCAGAGACACAGATATGGAAACAGAAAGAAGCACAGACCCAAAGATGGGGAGACACATAAGGACATAAAGGAAAGGATGAAGAGATAGGACAAAGAGACAAGCAGAACAATACAGATAATGTAGACAAAGACACAGAATCATGGCAGTTTAGAGACCCAGAAACACAGAAGGACAGAAAGACACGGAGACACAGGGACAGAGTCACAGGTGAACAAACATAGCATCACCAAGGCAGGAACACAAAGAGATCCAGAAACAAACAAAAAGAAATAAAGATAGGAAGAGATGGAAATATAGAAATATTGGAGAAGTAGAAACCCAGAGAACCGAAGACTAGGACAAGAGAAGATTAGGTCCCAGCTGAGGCTTATGAGGCTGAGGACCCACATTCCACAGCCCTGAGTGAAGTTCACCCTCATGCCCTTGGCCCATCTCCCCTTGGCCCACCTCCCCTTGGTCCCATCTCCCCTTGGCCCATCTCCCCTTGGCCCATCTCCCCTTGGCCCTCCCTTCCTCCCATGTGCCATCCTTTGGGGGATGGATACTGACCTGGGCACTGCCGGAGGAAGCAATCTCGAGTCTCGGCCCAGTGACCCTGGCACTCAGCCCCTCCATAAGAGGGTCCATTGCACTCCCTCGTGCGCTGCTGGGTGCCATTGGAACAGCTAGATGAGCAGGAACTCCAGCTTGACCACTCATTCCAGTTGCCATCCACTGCCCGGCCCAGGGGGAGAAAAAGGGACAGAACACAGAGCATGAATATCTTTCTTGGGCTTACCATTCCCTGGTGGAACAGTATTTGGGGCTGTCAAGCTGCATGGGTCCAGCTGTTTCTGACCATTCCCCTGCCTCTCAGGAGTATCTCAGAACTGGAATAGGATTGGAAGGGTGAGACTCATCTGAGGGAGGCCAATCCTGGAGGCCAATCCTAGGGGCCAACAGATTACCATCCTCTCAAAGGAAAGGTGCCTCGGGGCAGAGTGCTCCAATGTCAACAACATAGAATGTCTAAGCTAGAATGTACTTCAGAGGGCATCCAGTCCAACCTATATCTAAGAAAAAAAATCACTTCTATAGTATCCATCACAAGTGGTCAGCCAATCTGTCCTTGAATATTTCTATGGGGAGGAAGGATCACTACCTTATGACGAAGACTGTTGTATTTTTGGATAGTTTTTAATTGTTCGTAGAGACCGTGTGATATAGTGGTTAGAGAACCACTCTCTAGGTCAGGGAAGATCTGGGTTCAAGTCCTGCCACTGACAAATATTGGCTGTGTGACCCTGGGTAAGTCATTAACCTCTCTCAGGACTCCAAGCAACGCTCAAAGACTGTAAGTTCTAAAGCTGGTACCATGTGTGTCGGTGGAGAAAGGTCCTAACCAGTAGTTCCCTAGGCCAATGAAAGCACAGGTCTGATCCTCCTCCTCCCTAAAAAATTAAGGAACTTTATCTTTCTCTCATGACTTAAATTACTCCTCACCAATTCTTGCCATTGTTTCTGGTTTTGCCCTCTTGGGATCAAGGAGAACAAATTCAATTCATCAGTCACAAGACATCCCTTCAAAGACTTGAAGACAAATCATCAGGCCCCACTCCCAAGTCTTTTCTTTGACAAGTCAAACATTTCAACTGTTTTCAACTATTTTTCATAGGACATGGTCGCCAGTCTTTTCATCAACTTTGTTTAGCTGAACTGGTAACAATTCATGGTTTCCCCATTTTGTACTTGTGGGATTGTTGGCTTTAATCCAAGGATATGGCTCTATATTTACCTCTATTAAATTTCCTATTTTTAGATAGTGACTTATAATTCTAGTCTGTTGAGATATTTGAGGACCCCTATTGTCATATAATGTGTTAGTGAACACTTCGGACTTCATGTAACCAAAGCTATTATCACCATCACAACCAATACCTTCACCACCACCATCATCAACATTGTTATCATCAACAGCATCACCCCCATCACCAATACTACTATCATCATCACTGCTACCATCCCCACTGTCACCATCATTATCATCACCATTGCCACCATGACCACTGTCAACATTACCACCATCACAATAGCTACTACTATCATCACCATCACTGTCTCTGTCATTCATCATTACCATTACCATCACCATTTTCATCACCATTATTGTCTCCATTAACAATTACCACTGTCATCTTCATTAGCTAGGTCACTACTACCAACCCCAATGACCTCCACCGCCACCATCAGCAGCATCACCAACAGCATCAAATAGGATCTGTTGCTTTTGTAACAAACTCTCCCATGGGAGGAAAGGAATAAGACAAATGGCAATAGTTTTCAAAGGTGAAGGACATAAATTGAGTTGAGCCCCCAAAAGACAACTCATTTAAGGGCTGTGAGGCCCAAGAGCTCAAGAATGCCCATATTATCCCAAACACCAGCCCATGAGTCTCTTATCTCCTCTATTCCTCAGAGTTGCTAGGAGCTAGCTTGAGGCCTGGTTCTGGGATATCCTTTCTCTTTCAAGGATAAGACTAGAAACAGGTTCCAAAATGAGAATCTTCTAGAATGGCTCTCTAATTTGCCATTGATAGAAGTTCATGGAGTTTAGGAATGTTGTGGACATCCCTGCCCTTCAAGGCTTCTCTGACACTGGGCATGAGAGCCAGGTTCTTATACTCTAAATAAGAGGCTACAGAGATGAGCAATGGGGAAAATATGATGGGGGAAACCTCTAATTGTCTCATGACTGACCCCGAAGCAGAAATGATGGTCAAGGATGGAAGGGATTCTGTCCCCAGCAGCCAGCACCCAAGGGCCAGGACTCTGAGGAACAAGTACCAAAATGGATAGCGACCAAAATGGAAGACAGCATGACAGATAAGAGTAGCAGAGTGTCAACTTGGGGCAGGGGAGGTTGGGGGACTGAGGTGAAGAAGTGATCCATGATAGTAGGATGGAGAGACAGAGAGCCAAAGAGACAGAGACAGAGCCACAGAGACAGAGATAGAGACACAGAGAGACAGAATAACAGACAGAAGTGGAAGCAGAGAAAGACAGGGACAGAGAGATGGATGGACAAAAGACAGAAAGATGGATGGACAAAAGACAGAGAATGAAAGACAGACACAAAGAATAAGAAATAGAAACTTTTATAAGAGATACATTAAGAAATAGAGATGGAGAGAAGAGACAGGTAGACACAGAGCTAAAGGGAGAAGCACAGCCAAACAGAAGGAAGAGGAGAGACATCTCTGGGAGGATTTCTTAGCAGCCAGAGGCAGAGGGGGCAGGGAGGAGCAGAGCATTTGTATTGAAGCAATTTGCAGAGCTGGCCAGGAGCCTGCTTAATCCCCATGGCTATTTTTAAAGCTCTTTCTCTTCCTCTAAGCTATTTCTCTCTGCTTTCTTTTTGTTAAGGAAACAAGTGAGATTGTGATTGCATAAAGCCACGCCCATGGCAGCCAGGAAAGCCCACGGGCCCCTGTCCTTCACCTTTAAATGCCAGCATCAGGAGCCGAGGGGTCACCTGCTTCAAGAGACATTGGCTCAAGGTCTACCTTCTTGGAGATGGGCCTAGCTGGTTTAGGGATCAGGGTTCAAGACTGGAAACAGCTAAAGAGAAAGTGAATAAAGGAAATGGATATTACTCTACCTTCAATCTCATTTCTGCCATGAGATCTTCCTTAACCAACTTCACCCCCACAGCACTGTTTGGGACTTTCAGTAGGCCTACTCATGCATGCTCTCTGGACCACATCTCTTTTATGCTAAGTAGTTCATCACTGGCCTGCTAGGTGGCACCATAGTGCAAAAAGCACCAGGCCTGGAGTCAGGAAGACTCATCTTCCTGAGTTCCAGTCCTGCCTCACACACGTACTAGCTGTATGACCCTGGGCAAGTCCCTTAACCTTGCTTGCCTCCGTTTCCTCATCTGTAAAATGAGCTAGAGAAAAAAATGGCAAACCATCTAGTATCTTTGCCCAGAAAACCCCAAAGTGGGGCAGCTAGGTGGCGCAGTAGACAGAGCTCTGGCCCTGAAGTCAAGAGGACCCGAGTTCAAATCCAGCTGCAGACACTTACGAGCTGTGTGACCCTAGGTAAGTCACTTAATCCCAACTGCCTCAAAAAAAATTACAAGAAAACCCCAGAGTGGTGTCACGATGAGTCAAACATGACTGAAAATGACTAAGTAACAACAACAAAGTTTACTACCTTGAAATGAACATTGGGGCTTTGGATAAGGACGGTGATATCTTATTAGTGGTGAAGACAGTGATGATGGTAGAATGTATATTCCTTCAGGGCAAAGACTCTTTTTGATTGGGGCATTGTAATTCAGCACCTGGAATAGTGCCTGGCACAGAGAAGGCACTTCATAAAATTTGTTGAATAAATGATGAATGAATGAATGATGTCGGTAATGGTAATATTACTCTGGTAATAACAGAGACGATGAATGACCAACAGGTATTTATTAAGCATCTCCTGTGCACCAGTCCCAATACACTGGGTGCTGGGAATATACAAAGACAAAAATGAAACAGCAGAAAGATGGCAGTGATGGCGATGATGGTGATGGGTTTGGGCATGATGGTAGTAAAGAAGAGCTGTCATGTCCTGCTTCCACTCCTGCCCTTTACCCAAATATGATTTTCTTGTATTAATCTGCAATTATCCATAGATCATATCCAAAGGACTTTTTCTATCTTCTGTGTCAGAACACTCAGATGGCGACATCATCTGCTTCCGTGGCTTTGCCAACAGCTACAATGACCATTGCAAATGCAATGACCGCTTGGCTGCTGATAGCAAGATCTCTTCCTCTTAGGCAGACACTGTGGTATCGTGAATAGAATTGATGAAATGAACAGCATTGGGTAACAGAGGAGCAAGAAGACCATGAAAGAGAGATCCCTGGTATCATGCCATATGCCCTGGTATATCCAAGGGTCGCCTAATCTTTATTCCTGCCTCTAGGGAGGCCCTGCTCAAAACCTGCTGAGGAGCTTCGCCCTATCTCCATCAGCCACCCCAGCCTGGCCAGACCAGCCCCTCTGTCTCCCTCCAACTTACCAGGGCACAGGGCGATATTGCAGAACTTGGTCTGTTTCTCCGGACCTTCACAAGGGTTGCCTCCAAACTGAGGTGGGCGGCAGGTGCGGGTACGGTCCCGGAAGCCCCTCCCACAGGTAGATGAACACAAACTCCAGGGTGACCACTCATCCCAAGTCCCATGAACTGTGAGGAAAGGGTAAGGTCATCAGGAAATTCCCCTGCCTCTGCAATAGTACAGACTGTATCTACAACCCCCATCAAGGAAATCTACACACCATTCACTGAGGCCAAGCTCCCTGCTGGCCTGTTCCTTCCCTAACTATACCCTTCTCCTCTCCTGAAAACCAACCTTCATCATAAAGCTTTCCCTGATTCAATTCACCCCTCTGGTCAAGCCAACACAATGTAGGACAGACTCCATCCAGGTCTGAAAGTGTACTTACACTGTTTCTCCTCCTCAAACCAGGGGCGCCTAAGGACAGGCCTTATACCTCCTTCTTAGGCCAGAGGCTCCTTCAGGCCACGGGCTATTTCTCCCCTCCATGCCTAGGGATTGCTGAGGGGAGGATTTATGTTTCCCCTAAAGATAGGGGCCGTGTCTTCCTATTCCAAGACCAAGTTCCAGAAATCAGGAGTTGAGACTTTTTCTTCAACCAGAGGCTCCCATGACCTAGTATTCCAACCCTACCTTGGAGGGAGGACTCACCTGGACAGATGGCTGAGTTATTGCACTGTCTCTGCTCCCGCAGGGGTCCACTACACTGGGTGCTGTAGGATGAGGAAACGCAGAAACGGGTCCGGGTCTGCCAGCCCTCACCACATGTAGTCGAGCAGACACTCCACGGGGACCACTCCTCGGCTGCAGGGTCTCCTGTTGGGACACGGGACACGAAAGTCAGCACCGAGGCAAAGGCAGCAGGAAGGATTATCAAGGAAGCCGATGGCAAACTCTTCCCATCCACGACGATTATTAGATAATGGCTATGTTCAAAGGAGGGCTATATAAGTCCATGCTCAGGGACAGATGGATGAATGGGGTAATTATAGTGGTAATGAAAGTAATAAAGAAAATAAAAAGAGGAAGAGGACAAGAAACAGAAGGAGAGCAAGAAAGAAAGAAGAAGAAAGGGAAGGAGGAGGAAGAGAAAGAAGTAGGAGGAAAAGGAAAGGGAGGAGGAGAGAGAAAGAGAAGGAGAAGGATGAGAAAGAGGAAGAAAAAGAAGAAAAGGAAAAGGAGGAGCTGGAGGAAGAGAAGAGGTCAATAAATACATGTAATTTCTTCAGCATTTTGAATTTTCATAGAATCTCCAAAGGGAGCTCAGAGGCCTCCTAGTTTGAGCTATATTTGGATAATAATTCCCCTACAACATCATTGACAAGTGGTTGTCTTGACTTTGCTTGATGACTTATGCTGAAAGGAAACCCATGACCTCCTGGGGTAATTAGTTCCACTTTTGTTGTTGCTGCTGCTGCTATTGTTGTTGAGGTGTGTCTGACTCTTTGTGACCCCATTTAGGGTTTTCTTGGCAGGGATACGGGAGTGGTTTTGCCATTTCCTCCTCCAGCTCATTTGACAGATGAGGAAGCTGAGGCAAACAGGGTTAAGTGACTTGCCCAGGGTCACACTGCTAGTAAGTGTCTGAGGCTGGATTTGAACTCAGGTCCTCCTGACTCCGGGCCCAGTGCTCTATCCACCGTGCCACCTAGCTGCCCCACTCTACTTTTGGATAGCTCTATTTATTAGGAAGTCTTTTCTTACATTAGGGGCAGCTAGGTGGCATGGTGGATAGAGCGCTGAGTCTAGAGTCAGGAAGACCTGAGTTCAAATCCAGCCTCAGATACTTTCTAACTGTGTGACCCTGGGCAAGTCACTTAATCCTGTTTGCCTCAGCTTCCTCATCTGTCAAATGAGCTGGAGGAGGAAATGGCAAACCATTCCAGTATCTTTGCCAAGAAAACCCCAAATTAGGTCACAAAGAGTTGGACACTACTGAAAATGAACAATTTTTCTTATATTAAGCCTAAGTCTGTCTCTCTGTAACTTCTTCCAATTGTTCTTAGTTCTGTCCTCCGGGCCCAAGCAGAACAAATGTAAGCCTTCCTCAACATTCCAGTCCTTCAAATATTTGAAGACAGATATCCTGCACCCCTCTAAAGTGTCTCTTCTCCACGTTCAACAGCCTCGGCTCCCTCAGATTATCCTTATATGGCATGGTTGTTGTCCCTCTGGATGAACTCTAATTTGACCTTCCTAAAAGAGAATTGAATAGAGTTCTCCAAACTAAAATTGACTAAGGAAAAGTACAGTAGAACTGTCACATTCTCTCCTCCCACTGCCCAGTCCCAGACATGACTCTTAATGAACTTTTTCGACTGCCATGTCCTCGTGTTAACTCCTATTTAACCTAAAGTCCATCAAAACCTTTAGATCAATGTCTCATTTACTGTTATCTAAATACACCTCCCCATATTGTGCTTCTAAAGTTGATTTTTTTCAACCCAAGGGTAGAAATTTACATTTATCTTTATTAGATTTCATCTGATTAGATCCAGCCTTTCATTCCAGTCTAATGAAAGATATTTTTGAACCTTGTTTTATTGTCCCTCTCAGTATTGGGTCACCTATAGATGTAATAAACCTGCCATCTACATCTTGATCCAATTCACTGATATAAATGCTAAGTAGAATGCTGCCAAGGACATAGCTCCTGGGACAACCCACCAGAGACCTCCACCCAATTTAACATTGGCATTGGCATTGGTTAATGATTATTCTCTGGGAACCTTCTTGATTAACCAAGTATAAAGCCTGGGAGGTAAAAAAATATACCAATGAGTTCAATTCAGAGAGCCCAGGATTTGAATCCCAAATTGGGATGCTCTAAAGGGAAAATGTCCTTCTTGGTGGTATCGCTCCTGGCTGAGGAGGAATCATGCTCAAGTCAGGCAAGATTTGGGAGAACTTTAGTGTAAGAGAATCTAGGAAGCTCAAATCTGCTCCATTTGGGAAAAGGAAGGTTCCTTTTGTACATGCACATAGAATCATAGTATTTCAGAGTCACAATGAACCTCAGAGGTGATCTATTCCATCCCATGCCTATTCCTGAGAAGTAGTCATCCAACCTTTAAAGGGGAACTCACTACTTTATGAGGTAACACACCTCTCTTTTTGACAACTCGAATTGCTACCAACGTTCTCCCTTACACTTACATCAAGTTCAAATCCACTTTTCTGAAGCTTCCACTGAGCGATGCCAGTTCTGGTCTTTGGGATCACACAGAACAAGTTTAATGCCCTTCAAAATGACAGTCCTTCAAGCTTTTAATGACAACCACTAACACCCTAAATCATCTTTTCTCCAGATCATACATTTCTATATACTGTATAAAGATAGAAAAGTCCCATCTTCTCCAAAATATATACAGCAAGACTTTTTTGTGGTGCCACAGAACTGGAGACACATGCCCATCAATTGAAGGATGAATAAATAAATTGTGGTACAAATTGTAGGCAGCTAGGTGGTGTCATGAGTAGAGCTATGGATCTGCAGTCAAGAAGACCTTAGTTAAATATGTCCTCAGAAGCTTATAACTATGTGACCCTGGGTATGTCACTTAAATTCTCTGTGCCTCAGTTTTCTCATATGTAAAATGAGGGTAATAATAGTATTTACCTCACAGAGTTGTTTTGAGAATCAAATAAGATAATATATGTAAAGCACCTCACTTTAGGAATTTAAAGCACTGTATAAGTATTAGCTATTAGTCATTGTACAAAAATATAATAGAATATTAATGCATGCTAAGAAATGACGAATATGAAAAATTCTGAAAAGCATGGGAAGCCTTGTATAAACTGATATGGAGGTCAGTAAGTAGGACCAGGAAAAATTATGCACAGTGACTGCAAAAATAGAAATGTTAAGAATAAGAACAACAGAAACGAATTGAATCTATGTAATTATAATGACCAAGTCTGGTCCTGAAGAAGAGGTGATAAAATCCACTCCCTCCCCTTTCTTACCTCCATGGGGGACTACTGATGTAGAACATTGCATATAGCATTAGTCTTGTTAATACATACTTATTTTGTATGTAATTATATATGTACATGTTGCCTTTCCTAATATATTATAATAGGAAGATCCTAATTACATTGGTAAGACCCTTGAGAGCTGGGACTGCTTTAGTCTTTGCATCTGTGCCCCCAGCATCAGCTCCTAGACTAGGGGTGGGGAACCTCTGGCCTTGAGGCCACACATGGCCTTTTGGGTCCTCCTAAGGAGATTTGTTCTGTGAAGTTTGGATTCAGTCAAAGGGCCGCACTTGAGGATCTAGAGGGCTACATGTGGCCTTGAGGCCACAGGTTTCCCATCTCTGTCCTAGGACATAGTAGGTATTTAATAAATGCTTGGTAATTGATTAATTGATTGATGTGTTGATTTTGATTGACTTTTTTTTCTTTCTTTTTTTTTATTCTTTGTTTTAAGAGATGGTTGCCTGCATTGGGAAGGAAGAAGGGATTTTTTTTTAATTAAGATAAATTAAAAAGCAAAACTATCAATAAAAGTTTTTAAATGCAGCCTTGTATGGAGAAGAGAGAAAGGGAAGACAAGGAATGGAAGAAAAGGGAAAGATAGAAGTGATGATGGTGAAAAGAAGCCACTGAACTAGAACAGTAGTGTAAAAAGGAGAGATAAAGGTAATTAGTGGAAGATTCCTAAGCCCAAGGAGACAAAAAGATCAGAAAGGTTCAGGGCCTCAGGTTGAGGGTTAAAGGTTTTTTGTTTTGTTTTGTTTTGTTTTGTTTTTTTAGCAAAGAGTTAATGATCTGTGGTCAAAGTAAAAAATCCCCTAATTCTAAGAGGAGGAGCTGGCATTTGGGCAAGTTGATCACAGGATAAAGAATCCCAGAATCTCAGAACTGGGGGGGACTTAAAGGTCATTTTTTCCCACCTGTGTATAAACAGGAATCTGCTTTACACCTGACAAGTAGTTATCTAGCCTTAATGACTGGGGTTGCTCAGTAATTATATACTGTATAAAGATAGACAAGTCCCACCTTCTGAAGCCCAGGCCAGAGTTGAGCATCCTTCACTGGGGGTCATATTCTAGATTTATATCATAACTCTACAAGATGCCTGATGGTGGAGCTATCAGCCAGGAAAACTGAAGGAATACCCCCTCAACCTCCCTCGGTCCTTAGTTAAATTCAGATAAATTAGCTTGGGGGACACACTGACTGAGCAGAGCTGAACAGATTTCTTGTCAGAACCTGCACCCTAGTGTGCTATTTCTGAATTTCCATTACTCTTTCCCCTTGTGAATAAATCCTTGAAATAGCACACAAAATCCTGTGTATATGTGTGGTAGATAGCAGGTAGCAGGGAAGGAAGGAAGGAAAGAATGAAGGAATGAAGGAAGGAGGGAGGGAGTGAAGGAGGAAGGAAGGGAAGGAGGGAGGGAGGAAGAAAGAAAGAAGGAAGAGAGGGATGGAGAAAGAGGGTGGAAAGGAGTGAGGGAAGAAAGGAAGGAAGGAAGATATGGAAGAAGGAAGGAAGGAAGATAAGAGGGATGAAGAGAGGGGAGAAAGGAGGGAAGAAGAGAGGGAGGGAGGGAGGAAGGAAGAGAGGAAGAAGGAAGAGAGAGAAGACATGGAGGAAGGGAGAAAAGGAGAGAGGGAGGGATGAAGAAAGGGAGGGAAGAAGGAAGGAAGAGAGGAGAAGAATGAGAGGGACAGAAGAGAGGGGGCAAATGAGGGAGGAAGAGAGGAATGGAGGAGGGAAGAACAGAAGAAGGAAGGAAGGAATATATGGAGGAAGGGAAGAAGGAAGATAAGAGGAATGGAAGAGAGAGGAGAAAGGAGAGAGA